CCTCTTCCAAGACAGCACTGGTTCCATTGAAAGTTCTTTCGGGAATTACCCGCATTGCCCGGTCAGATTCAACTATGTCAGAATTTGGAGGGGGTCGAGCGGAGAGATTTTCATTTCCAGGTGAACGTTTCAAGGTGCAGCCATACTGCGATGGTTTCGACCTAGTTTCACTGTTGAAATCATTTGGTGTGAACTGCTCATTATAAGCTTGGATGATATCACGATGCTTTCTGTTGGCCATTTTGTTTTCAGGAACTCTGGTTTTAGACTGTTTAGCATCTTCAACCGAGTTTTCAGCTCTTTTGTTTGTATGCAAATGAGCTTCCGAGGCGTACATTCTCTCGTCTCTGTTTCCCATAGCAGAATTACTTCGACGTCCTAAGAAGTGTTCCCGCTGAGAGCGACTCATGAAATGGCCGTCCTTAACTCCTCTCTCTGTGTCAGAGACCTGTTCTGTGCGATGGAGAGTGTCGTTGGCAGAGGAAGGTCGAGGCGGGAGAGATGGATAGCTGCTGGACAGGTCAAGCTCCTGGGCTTCTCGACGTCTCTGAAACAGACCAGGAGTTGAGTCGTGCGCCCAGGAATGCTGGGTTTTGAGGATTGGTTGAGGTTTCGAATGTACCCGTTGTTTCTGTTGTTGTTGCTGTTGTTGTTGCTGTTGTTGTTGAAGGTGTTGAGGATGAGGTTGTTGGGGCGGAGGCTGCTGATGCTGCTGTGAAGGAGGAAGCGACTTCATTGGTTGCTTTGATGAAGGTTTGTTGTGGAAGTTTGGCAGTGTCTGGAACTGTAGAGCCCCGTGATGTGGGGGTTGTCGATTTTTGTCTTGATCGGGGGGATCAGACTGAGTATTGTGGTGAACCACCACCGGCTGATGAGGCTGTGGAGGTTGTTGTTGCTGATGATGATGAGGATGCTGCTGCTGAGAATGCTGCTGTAACTGCTGCAATAAATGCTGTTGTTGGTGGTATCCATTACTACCGTTCATTTGTCTTTTGGTTTTTACCGCCATGTTATAGGGAGGGGGAGACAAAGGAATTTGGCCTTGACCTTGGCCTTGGTTTTGACCTTTGATATGATTATGACCTGCAGATTCTGTGCTAGGAGTCATAAGTGACGTTGGCTTAGCGGCGACTGGGGGTGGGGGAGGTTTGGGTAAGTTTGACCTTTGGTCTGGTCTTTGACCCGGTTCTCTCACGCCCACCCCGTGTGGAGAGTTGAGTGACGGACTGACCAGACGCCCTGAGTTCATGAGGTGAGTATTGCTCTCATGAGAAAAAAACGTGCCTTGGTTGTCGCAGGGCCCGTTCATGGAGTCGGAGAGACGGGGTGTGTTTCCGGCGGAACTCATTCCACTGTGGTAGGCGTCCTCTGTTGACAGACGATAGTGTTACAGTGAGCCTTGTACGTTGCATAAGAAAACAAGATTAGGAATGCAAGAAAGAGACACAAAACTACAGAAAAACCTGCTCTAAGGCCACTTGTATGTGACAATCCATCACCTGTACTTAACATCACTATTTCAGATTTCTTCGTTTGAGCACTTCGTATATAATTATGACACTATGTAAGCTACCCCCCTCCACCCCGCCTGAATTGACCCAGTGTCAGAAATAGACAATGTCTGACCTATGAGAAGAAGTATATACCTTATCTATACTATTTCACTTTGGAAACTTCATTTAATAAATTACATGATTTTATGTGATGTGGGCCAATGGTCTTAAACACTGAATAATCAATGAATGGTTTCCTCAGACAGTTTTTTTATTGTATTTGTAAGAAGAAGATTAATATTGCAACATCTGAGGAGACACAGGATGGGTTAACAGAGATAACAGATAATAAATACATAAACTGATTTATATTACTGCAACCAGAAGCCTCTTTCATTTTCAAAATAGTCAAGTTCGAAATCGACCTGCGCATAAAATAGCTGACCAACACAGAACAAACATGTGTATAAAAGTCTGCTTCGGTGGACCCCC